ACCAGGAAATGGAGGGATCAGGCAATTCACCAAAATGCAGACACATGTAACAAGCAGTTTAGGCGAACTGGCTGAATCCCACCACTGACTTTAATCCTAGGTGTATTTTCCCTCCCAATGGAATTTTCCCACGTATTTTACCAGGAAACGTGGATAAGGCTTACTGCATAAGTAGGTGCCTTCCTAAGCATAATTAAGCGCTCCGAATCCATTGGCGATGTCCATTTTGCTCTCTGAATTCATGGGGACATAACTCTAACCAAAATGGGCATCACCAACAGATTTGGGGTGCTTGATTATGCTTAGGAGGGCACCAATTAATCGAGTCAGCCTTATTCACGTTTCCTAGGACAGAGGTCTCCAACCTTGGCAACTTTAAGACTTGTGGACTTCAACTCCCAGAATCAACTCCCAGCTCTGCTGGCTTGAGAATTCTGGGAGTTGAAGTCCACAAGTCTTAAAGTTGCCAAGGTTGGAGACCTCTGTCCTAGGACATTACACCTAAGGTACGGTTAGGTCTCCATGAATTTGGAGAGCAAAATGGACATCGCCAATGGATTTGGAGCGCTTGATTATGCCTAGGAGGGTGCTGATTTCTCAATTCAGCCTTCTCCCTGTTTGCTGGTAAAATACTGAAATGTAAAACATTATAAAGAACAGTTGCAGGAATTGAGTATGTCTAATTTAATGAAAAGGAGGACTAGGGGTGACATGATAGCTATGTTCCAATATCTGAGAGGCCGCCAAAAAGAAGGCGGGGGGGGGGGCAACCAATTCTTCAAAGCACCTGAAGGCAGGAGAAGAAGCAATAGTTGGAAACTAACCAAGGAAATAACCAACCTAGAACTAAAGAGAAATTTTCTGACAGTTAGAATAATTAATCAGTGGAACAACTTGCCTCCAAAAGTTATGAATGCCCCAACATTGGAAATTTTTAAGAAGAGATTGGACAATGATTTGTCTGAAATGTTATAGGGCTTCCCACTTGAGCAGGGAGTTGGACTAGAAGACCAAATGAAACGAACAAAACGTTAAAAAGTTACGATATTTATGTAGTTCCTTACTATGCACTTCTAAATTATGTTAAAGTAACCAAAGTATCTTTACAATCCTCAAGGCATGTCACAACTTTTGGGCATCCCTAATGTTGGGAAATTGAATGTTGAAAAAATTGACATGCCTTAATCCTTCAAGGCCTCTTCCAACTCTGTTATTCTGTAATTCTATACTATAGCTTGGGTTGGAAGTGGCTGAGTGACCCATAGTCACTGGTTAAGAATTTTTATGGTGTGGATAGACTTCAATGTGGGTCTCCTTAGTCCCTAGTCCAGGGCCTTAACCATTACTTTAGACTGGCTGGAAGGTAGAGAAATATTGGGGAAATGGAACTAATTCTTCACTCATTCAGTTATCAAATTTATATAGCTGCCCGTTTCACAAATTTCACTCTGGGCAGAGTACAATAAAAAAAAACCTCATAGAAAACAAACATCAAAACATCCCAAAATAAAAAAATAATATTTATTTTAAAGCCTAAAAGACAGCATCTTTGGTGTTAAAACAATGTAGCCATCTCAGCAATTCTCCATTTCCTTCCATGCGTAGTGACATGTTTTGAGGGACTTCCAGAAAAGTGCCAAGAATGAGTTTACTTTACTCTCTTTATTGCTAAGGATCTAGTACAAATACCGATGCCTGAACCAGCTTTTTCAAGAAAAATATAGGACAAACTGAGATAAATAGAGATAATGAGTGCTGAAATTATAAGTCAAATTAACTAACTAAAAATAAATCTTTAGGCTCACCCAAGAGTTTTTGAAGAACTTAGATATGAAATCGCTGATCTTTTTGCTAAAATATGAATCTTCCTTTTAATCTTGGCATTTATCCCTGAAAAAGGAAAACAGCCATTGAGATCACAATTTTTTAAAATGGATTTAGGGGCAATGTAAGAAACTTAACATCTGGAGAAAATTGCTGATATTAAAGATAAAATAATCATATAAGTAGGAGTCTTGGTGAAAAGAAACTAACAGCTTCCACAAAAGTAAGTCAAGTCTCACTTCCCTTTTAGACTTGAAGGAATCAACAAGTACATAGTCAAAAATAACCCAATAAGTATTTTCTACATAAGACTTTCAAGGCTCCTTTGACAACGTTTCTCACCAAGGATTCCAGAGGAAGCTGGCAACCAATTAAAAAAAATTGGTTGCTGCTGCATACCGCTGGCTCATAATTAAGTGATCATCCACTGGGACTCCAAAGTCCCTCTCACAGATACTGAGCCAGATTTTGCCTAATCTGTACTTGTACCTTTGACCATTTATCAAATCTGATTGATTGGACAAGTAAAGAATAAATGGACAATTCTCACACTGGTAAAGTGTGTATAAAATGAGGTACTTTATTGTTAGTACTATTCTTTTTAATTTGAAGAAACTAACCTGCTTAAAGTGATGAAATTTTAAAAAAATGGATTGTTAAGAATCTTGCCAAATGTGATGAATTAACTTCAAAACGGCACGGGCAGTTCACTGTAAATAAGTATCAGTGACTTATGTTAGAATAAAAAAAAAATCCATATTTCATTAATGAGACCTGAGCTAGTAATGGTTGGCCAGGAAAGGGATCTTCGACTCATGGTAGGCAATTCAATGAAAAAGTCAACCCACTGTGCAGCTCCTGTAAAACATACACACACGCACACAAAACCCCATAAAAGAACACAGTTCTGCGTTTGAAATTGAGAGTATAACTTTCAATATAATAATGTTCTAATACATTTATGTGTCAAGAACATGCTTGAAGAATCGTAGGCAATTCAAGTTAGCAATCCAAAATGATGATATAGAATTTGAAAAGCTGCACATATGACAACCAAACTGATTAACAGAGCATAGCAGCTCCCTTACCAGAAAAGACTACAGTAATCACCAGCCAGGACTGTTTGGCCTTGAATCAAGGAAATAACCATGCAGGGTGAGGAGAGACAAACATGCAGGATGCTGTGCGTTTTTCTTCTTTCACAATAATTCAAAACCAGCTGCTGAATTAAAGGCAGAGAAACATGGGACCAGCAAACTACTTTGTTACACAGTGCATAGTTAAAATTCTGGAATTCACTGCCAGCACTTGTAGTAATAGCAGCCAGTTTAGATGAGACTGCTCAGGTTCGCAAGATTAGATAATCAGTGACTATTAATGCTGATGACTCTTTATTACCTTTTGAATCACAGCTTGTTGTAATACTGAATGCTGGGAAGTGATTGTGGAGAGGGGTAATTTATTTACTTACCAAACCTCTTAGGTCATCTGACCCCATAATGATTCTGGGTGGTATACAATACTAAAAACAGTCAAAAACAATATAAAGAAGGAAGGAAGGAGCAATAAAACACCCAACCTAAAAATAAAAACATAGACATAGAATACTTTATTGGCCAAATGTGATTGGACACACAAGGAATTTGTCTTGGTGTAAATACTCTCAGTATACATAAAGAAAAGATACATTAGTTAAGAATCAAGAATCATAACGTACAACACTTAATGATAGTCATAGGGTACAATAAACTATTCTGTTAAGAGGCCTGCCTGGTGGAGAAGGTAGGTAGGAACAGTGTAGATCTCTGTGGAGATGCTGCTACCTGGACTCCATTGAATGAAACTGTTTAATGGAGGGACTCCAGCCCATGCTAATTCTGTTTGACAGTAAGGGCAGGCAGAAGCTACAGGAGATAAATGGTCCCTCAGATAACCAAAAGCCCCTTGCCATGAAGTGTTTTATACTGATCATCAGTATTTTGAATTGTTTGTATCTGGCAGCTAGCTGGTAACCACTGCAGCTCATGAAGCAGAAGAATTACATGATTGTGGCATAGCCATCATTTCCTGTGCTACTGCATTCTGGACCAGCTGCAGTTTCAGATGGGTAGCTCCGTGTGTAGAGTATATGGCCATGGACCTCCAGGTCCAAGAATGGGTGCAATTGATGCATAAGACAGTTTTATGCAAAGATCTCCTGGCCATACACTGCTTTTCTGGGACAAATGCACAAGTCCAGCAAAGTTGAATGCTTCCAAATAGAGGGACAGTCTGGGCCAGATGGTTCAAATAACTGCAACCACTCAATTTTCCTTGGGTTGATCCCGAGTCTATTCCTCCCCACCTTGACCACCAAAGCCTTGTGCCACTGGGCCAAGGGTGAAAAAATATGTTCTCCAAATATTCATTCAGTTGCCCATCCCATCTAGATACAGAATGCTGGACAAGGTGAAGCAATGGACGGATTCAACCAAGGCCGTTAGAAGGGCGTTGAGGTTTCAGGTATACATCCACTCTGGATCAGATCTGCGCCGAGTACAACACTAAGAAGCCAACGAGCGTGTGAGTGTGGATGGGTGGGTGAGTGGGCGTGGGCGACTGCCCCTATTCTGGGTTGCGCGAAAAAGGCTGCAATCACAGGTTATTTAGCGCGAACATTCTGCAGAAGTCGTCCGAGTATACGTTATGCATCAGGAGCGACACCTTCTTTCACCCTCTGTTACGCGAGGGCGCCAGAGACGGGACGAAATTGTTCCGCATACTTTCTCACTTTCTCGTTCGTGGGCGGTCAAGAGAGATTTCGCCTGCCTTCCTTCCTTCCTTCCTTCCTTCCTTCCTTCCTTTCTTTCTTTCTTCTTTCTTTCTTTCTTTCTTTCTTTCGACTTCTTGGCGTGAGGCGGCGCACAAGAGAGCTGCCAGAGCGCCTGAAGTCTGACTAGGCTGTGGGCGGCGGGTGAAGGTGGGCGGCGCGCCGCGGTGTGAGCGTGTGGGCATTGCCTGACTCTGACTCCGCTTCGCCTCCTGCCTGCCTGCTTTTTCCCAGGCGGCGCTCCTTGAGGCAACCGCCAGGGCAGAGCAACACGGAGCAGGCGGAGCTGGGGGCGGGTGGAGGCGGGGGCGGCTGCTGGCGGGGCGGGGGGGAGGGGGCTGCGCCCGGCCCTGAGAGGCGATATAAAGCGTCGCGCCTCTCCCAGTCGCTTCGCCTGCAACGTCCACGGATCTTAGCTGTGGTGGCGGCCGTCGCTCTCCCGCGCTCTCCGTGGAGCCCTGCGTCCTGACCAGTCGATGGTGTTTCCTGGAGCTCCCGGCCCCGTCATGTCGCGCTCGGAAGAGGTGCACAGGGTCACCGAGAATGTCTACAAGGTTAGAGGCGATCGTCTTCGGGAGAGGGACATCGGGTAGAACTCGGGCATCGGGCTGTGCCGCGCCCGTGGCATTTGGAGCAACTTCCCGCCCCGTCCCGGGATCAGCTGCCTGAATCCTTTTGGCCGTGGCGGGACTCCCTTGCCTTTGGCGCACTCCTCTTCCACCGCCGCCCGGCCGCGATGCCTGCTCGTTTTCCTTTGTGTGCTTCGCGGAGTGGCGATCACCTGTTGCAGGATTTTTGTACCTTTCCTCGCTCGCACTTCTCACCCGGGACGCCCCCGTCCCCCCGCTGTTCAGATCATGCTGGTCTTTCTGTTTATCGGCGGGCGAAGCAATTTTTTTTCTTTTTCTTTTTCTTTTTAAACCTAACCGAATAAATCTACTGTATCTTTCTTGGACTCTCCCGATTCTGCCGCCCAGCGCTGGCTGGCTTGCTTTCTCTCCTGCCTCGGCATTGATCGTTTCGTAATTGCCGAAAGAATATAAACCCAGTTCCCACCTAAACTCCTTCGCGATTTTTCTTTTTCTTTTTTCTTTTCCCCTTGTGAAGTGGTGTTGCGGAGACTTGATTGAAAATCATATTTCCTGGGGCGAGAAGAGAATGTGTGCGTTTGTGTATGTGTGAGTGATTCGCCGGTGTGTATGAGTTTCCCTGAGAAAAGGGGGAGCGAACCTTTAAAGAACCGGACTAATTTGCACAAACAAGCGAGAAAGCAGCAACTCTAATCTCCTCTCTTACATACAGCTCGTTTTTTTTAGTATGGTGTATTTGTAGGTTTGCTTCAAAACAATTCCGGTTTGGAGGCAAAGAATAGCGTTTAGCTTCTTCCTTCTACCTGGTTGATATCCACTGCATTGGTCTGAAGCTTTAGTTGGTCTCTACCAGGTATTCCTGGGGAGGAAACATTCCTTGATTTAAGAGATTTCAAGATTGGTCCCCTTCCCTCTCTCTGCCCTTTTTTTGCCTCTCCTTTTTGTCTAAATAGGGAGGGAAAGAGATTTTGTCCTTAAAAAGGGGTGGGAAAAGATAGCTTATGTAAGAGTACAGGTGACTTGTATGTGGGAGTATTTTTTTAAAAAAAATGCATTTATTTTTGTATTAAAATGAAAACCAATGTTCTACATTGGATTCTTTATTGTTCTGGTTGGAAAATTCATTCTGGAAAAAAAAAATGCTAAAGAACAGAAACGACCCCTCCCTCCATGTCAGCACATACTTCCTGGAACATGATTCTGTGGTAAAAAAAATAAATAAATCATCCTTTCTTTGCTTTTGATGTGGTTTCTGATGGAATCTTAAAAAGGACTTCTGCATTCAGAATTGTAAAAGTCCCAGGACGCTGGTAACATTACAGAGTTGGATTCCTCTAAAAGCTGAGGTCTCATGTTTTTAGGTATTTATGGTTTCCGTAGAAGCTGTTCTGAGGTTTTTGTGGAATAGAAAATGCTCCCTTTCTGAACTGTTTCTCTGCTAGGTGAAATCACTGCTCCCAGCGTGGCATGTTAGTTACAGGAATAAACATTTTTTCCCCCTTTCAGTGGTGTCATTTTAATTTTTACATTATTGGGTTCATTGGTTGTATTTTAATTGGTATGACCAAGTCTGTAAGAAATAGGTTATTTTAAAGGAAGGTAGATTTATACTGGAACATAATTCTAAGAGGGCATAAGATGGCAATTACACAAAAAAAACAACCATTATTACACTCATTGAGTTAATAGCTGGTTGGCTAGCATGCCATTCAAAAGCATTTTATCCCTTAGTAAGCAAGGAATTGCTAATTCAGGTGGTTCTTCATGGCTTATTTGCATGAAGTGCGATAATTTAGCTGCATGCCTAATCCAGTGCTACATGTAAATAGATCTGTACTATTTACCACCTGCACATATGTCACATGCAGAAATCATAGCCTGAGAGCACAGATGGTACTGTTGGGGGCGGAAGGGGGAGAGGGGGAGAGAGAAACAGAGCTGTTGATGGAAGTCTTCCAATACAATGTCATACTTGAAAGAACAAGTATACTTTCTATCTTGGGCATGGAACCAAGTGTATTGGAGTTAGCATATGGTTGTTTGCCTTGACCCCCTTGTCCCTAATGCGTATGGGAACATTGGTGTAACTTCTGTGTTTTTGTCAAAAGTTAGAGTGCAACACTGTTTGGCCCCCTTTTCCAGTTACAGATACTGTACTTCAACAAGAAATATCATTAGGCCAGTAATTTGTTTTGTGTTAAAAAATTTTTTTATATTAATGACTCTTTGAAATTTTTATCTCTCAGGCATCTTACTGAAAACATTCTTTTAAATTAGTATGTTCTACTTCAGTAGACCCTACAAACCACACTTAATCAAATCTTATTTAACTTAGGAATGTAATGCAGGCTGTCATGCATTAAACTAAATCTAGTTACTGTGTTGTCTGGGGTCAGTCTTTGTTCCTTCATTTAAATTAGTGCAACATTAAGTTATCTAGGAGAAGAATGAGGCATCTAAAGTATTAGACTCCCACCATTTAGACCTGTGTGATATTGAAAAGCTTTCCTTTTTTTGGTTCTTTGTCCTAGCTTTTTTTCATGTTTTGGTATAAAGCAATCCTTGGCCATTTCAGGTTCTATCTTTCAGCAAAACCTACTCTCCTCCCTCCCTCCCTTTCTTCTTCTTTTTTTTTTAATGAACAAGTTTATGTACTGTAATGTTTGGGTCCAAATAACTTTGATATCATTCCCCCCAATGCAAGAATTGTTGATGTTGAATAATATCTGCTCCCTGCAATAAGGTAAATGCGTTTTAAGAGCTCTGGCAACCCATTGTGCAAAGTTAGTTTTCAACAGGACTTAATTTTATCATGATTAACACCCATATATTCATGTTTCGGTAGAGTCCAGTCATGGAGGGACATGTATTGTTTTGGTTTTTATAGAAGATAAAAATGCTTTTGAGTTAATGCTTAATATCTATGCAGTTTTCTCGGAGCTCAGTTTTTCGTGGAAGCTTTCTTATTTGCAACTCTGGGATTTCCAAGTGGTCCTCTATCCAAGGACAATAAAAGTTGGCCTTGTTTAGCTTTGGAGAGCATCCTAAGTCAGCAAGGAGGTGCCCTCTGTAGATTTTAATGCCATAGTCCTAAGTAGATGCATTATGTTTGTAATAAGGGCTGTTAGTTATCATTTGAAACTTACTGAAAGATAAATTATAGACCTGATTACAATTGTGTTGGTACAGTACTTGGAGAAGCTTGCCTAGCCCAAGGGCTGGATTTACACACCATGCTAAACCAGTAATAGGCAATCTTTTGGTTGCCATTGGCTATCTTTAATACCATTTTTGGTATAATTTTTTTGTATTTTTTTATACAATGTAAAAGATAAAAATTCAATATCTATATAAACATAAATCTTTTGGTTGCCATTGGCTACTTTTAATACCTTCAATGAGTTCAAAGGCTGCAGTGGTTCTAGCAATAACGCCAAATGGATATGAGTGGCTTGTGCATGCAGGAAGAACCAGAATTTTTCATCCCCCCCCCCTCCAGTTTTGGGTTGCCAGGCCTTCAGGGCAGATTAGATTAGGTCACTGCTTGTCGAGGGCCGGGGGAATCAGGAGATCCAGGCTGTTCAAATGGGTATAAAGACTTATTGCAAGCCTCATTTATCTGCAAGAATCTGAACTGCTAATGACCCAAGTACATTGGCGGTAGATAAAGAGTAGAAGGTGGGCTGGAATTAGACCTCTTGTAGGTGTAAAGAGACTCATGACTGGTGACACCTTTGACCTCTCCCTCGGGCTCAGGCTACATTGCTATTTCTGTTGCAAAGCTACAACAACAGAATCTTTCAATTTGCACTTCCTTTCTCTTCTCTTTTTTATTTTTGGGGAGATCTTCTCTGAAACATTTGCTTAGGTTCCATTTCTGGACTCTGTCCTCCTTTGTGTGACTGTTATCTTGGTAGCAGCTCTTCTTCCTGTTCCTCAAGGCCATCCCTTCTGACTTTACAGTGGTTTGTGATTTTTTTTCTTTATTGGCCAAATACTATTTTAGGGATTACACCTCCACCTCAAAATTAGTAGAAGACTATCATGTTGATTGGGACAATGACATTTACCCTTTTCTATACTAAGGCGGTACTTGTCTACACCTGGTTTATCCAACAAGCTCTAATGGCTTAAACCAGACTGGCAGAAGTCACCTCAAGGCTGAGTACAATGTATGCACTCTTATCAGGGTGATTTGCAAACCATGAATTACAGCTTAGCAATGACTCTCTGGTTCTCCTTGCAAGGGTTTGCTGAATATGCAGCCACTGCAGTGGACCCTAAGATTCTGCGGAGCTGCACAGTGCTGCATCCCTCACCATGGGCCATGCCTAGGCAGTTGGGAGATATGCCAAGTAGAAATAATTCTATGTGCTGCATGGTATGGATCTCCATTTGCTTTAAGCATTAAGAAACAGTTATGTAGCTATATGCCACTGATCTCATGCTGTAGTGTTTGGCAAGCAAGATAAAGGGTATCAGTGTCTTCTGTGTTAGGTGCAGATTATTAAATTTATCTCTAAATCAAAACTCTGTAATAATAGGTTGTTGCACTGAAATAACAGAATTGGAAGGGACCTTGGAGGTCTTCTAGTACAAGCATCTGCTCAGGCAGGAAACTCTTCACATAAATCGTTGTCCATTTTTTTTCTTTAAAACCTCCAGTTTTTCTAGAGGCAAATCATTCCACTGATTAATTGTTCTAACTGTCAGGAAATTTCTCCTTGGTTGTAGGTTGGTTCTCTGCTTCATTAGTTTTCTTAATATTTCTTAGTGTTCTAAATATCCCTTTTTTAATTGTAGGGAAAAAATAATTGGAAATGCCCATTGTGGTTCTTAAACTTTCTTCCTGGCATATGCACTGTTTATATCTACTCCATGCCTTGATTCAGCCAACAGCCAAACTAAACTAAGGTTTAACATTGACTGGTAGAGTTTGACAGAGAAACAGTCAAGCTGCTCAC